GATGAAATGAAAATTAAAAACAGCGAGTACCCCGCATGCCCTGAATTTCAATGGCAAGAAGTGGGGAGAGAGAAGGAGGGAGGGAGCGAAGATTGCTAAGCATAGAATGTAAGAGTGGTGTCCATGGCGACCAAACACATCCTTTAAAAACAGCCGGTAATGAGGGGCCGGGAAATAGCGCTTATTATTCCAAACAGTCTCATGGAGGGCAGCATCAATAATGCATGCAGTACCTTGTTATTTGGTAAATCTTGTTATCCTTATATATATATATTTTTTTTAATTTATTTATTTATTTTTTTAAGAATATTTTAGCTCTTTTTGTCCATATAAAAATATGCATAATATAGCCTTTTCTATTTTCCACAAAAGAAAGAAAGCTATACAGGTTTGGAATTGCGTGATGGTGAGTAATTAATCACAGAATTTATATATAAATATATATCTTAAAGTAATATGTTCCCATAAATTCTTCAAAGCAAACATAAATTCCGCCTCGACTAGAATTACCCTCCAGTATTCATATGATGTCTATCTATAGAATCTAGTTCAAACCACAGTCACATGATCGGACAGTTTTATTGCATATAACCTAATATTCCACTGCTATTCATCACTCTTAGTGTGTGTGTGTGTGCGCACATGCATTTTAATATAGCGCTTATTATTCCAAACAGTCTCATGGAGGGCAGCATCAATAATGCATGCAGTACCTTGTTATTTGGTAAATCTTGTTATCCGCATGGTCTCAGTGAGGATAAATATCTCACAACAAGGGTTGGAACTCTGACACACCCCAGTGATGAATAAATAAATAAATAAAGGTTTGCAGATATTTTCAAAACTGATTATATGTCCTAAAAACAGCCAATGATGTCGGCACACGAGCGATTGTGAATTAAATCATGTGCCGTTTCAGGGACATAATAAAACCTCATTTAAATATATATATATATATATATATATATATATATATATATATATAAATCCTTCCATACAATGCTATTTAAATGCTTGAAAAGAATAGTTTACATAAAAATTAAAATTCTGTCAATTTATATATAAATATATATCTTAAAGTAATATGTTCCCATAAATTCTTCAAAGCAAACATAAATTCCGCCTCGACTAGAATTACCCTCCAGTATTCATATGATGTCTATCTATAGAATCTAGTTCAAACCACAGTCTCATGATCGGACAGTTTTATTGCATATAACCTAATATTCCACTGCTATTCATCACTCTTAGTGTGTGTGTGTGTGCGCACATGCATTTTAATTTAGTCTGTGTTAAAGACAGAGAGGAAAAGGTCATATGCATTGTGAATGTCCCATTTTTGTAATATCAATCAATGATTGATTGGTGTCTTTCATTACCCTGCTGTCTACACAGATTCAGTGAGAACAGTGTGACAAAAGGTCTGTGTCCTGAGGCTGAGAGTGTGACCTCAGTAGCTTGTGGTCTCTGACTAGTTTCCATCAGAGCATGAAAAGAAATTACCATAATTTATATTTTTATATCATATTTGACATGGATTATACTGTACTTTCTACCAAGACAAAGCTGTAAGCCTGCTGTTGTGAAAAGACTTCATTTTTGTAGTTAGCAATCAAGAATTTCTACCTCATTGAATCTTGTCAATCTTATGAAATGTGAAAAAAAAAAACCTTTGTGATCGGTAATTTAAGGTAATCATTGATACAATTTCTTGGTTTCTGATAAAGTAATCACTGATAAAGCAGCTACATGACAGATGGAGAGTTTCTGGCTGTGGACATTGTTTGTGTAGCTTAGCAACAATAACCAAATAGGGTAGAACTTGAATAGGGCAAAGGTCATCTCTAGCCACAGAACATCAGTAACACTGTCCGGTAGGCCATGCCGTTTGCCCTCCATTAACAAATCTAACCCCTTCCCACCCAGCTCCCAAAGAACACATGTAACCTTTGACCTGACTTCAGACACCTGGCCTTGCAGTGAGTGAAGAGTTTTGCTGACTAGCTTTGGGCAAGATCCTGTTGATCCCTGGCAGCTTTTGTTTGAATAATGTTGACCTCTCAGTCAGAAAGAGAAAACTTTCTTTAGGTGCTGCTGACCTGCTGGTGCTGCTGTGAACATTTGTATGAAAGATTCCCCAGACTGAATGATAGGCTAACAGCTGGGTCTGAGGTGAAGTAAAGAACTTGACTTTCAATTGTTTGTCTTTTCTTTCTTTTATTTATGTTTCTTTCTTTTGATTAATTAATTTATATTTTGTTTTAATTTTAGTAATGTTATGCTACATCACACAGAGCACCAAGGCAACGCTTTTCTTTTCTTTTTTTCATCTAATATTTATGTTTAATTTTAACTGATGTAAGCTGTTTATTTATTTATTTATTATTTATTTTAGTCTTTCTGAAGAAAAAAGCTTCTTTTCACAAAATGTTTTTAGTGTTGTTTTCACAATTAGTACTAGTTTCTATAGTTAATTGCCTTGATAATGAGATGAACATGATATGTTTACTCAGTACAGTTACCACCAGCCTTTGCTTTTCAACACCACTGTATCAAAGCAATGCTTCATCCCGATTCCTCCCAAGTACAGATGAAATGGGTTTCTAGATGTTCCCAGCAGCCCTCTCAGCTCTGGCAGAAACAGCAGAATTGCACTAAATTGAAGTTTAAATTCCCAGAAAGTAGTTTTCGCTAAAGCAGGATACTTGTACGCACCTATTAATGTCAAGTGAGATTATTCTGTGAAGCTAAATTTCACGCTTCCACTAGAATGATGAATAAAATGAAGCCCTCAATATTTTAACTTCAGCAAGTTCATTTTATAAAATGTCTTACATATTATGAACTTTCTGGAGTTAAGTGAGTATCATTTCAAATTCTATTCATTGTTCTCCACAGCTAAACTAATTTTAATGTGCTGTCTTTGAATATACATAGGTTACGTTTGCAGTACAGCACTCCAAAAGATTTTCTTTTTCTCAGTCAGCTCATACATATTCCATAGACTGAGCCACTTCTTATTGGTTAGATGAATAAAAGGACTGCATTTTCTATTTATTTTTAATTGCTACAACGAAAATAGCATGGCCAAAGTCAAGAAATGCTGTGAGATGTTCACAAACTACTTTATTCCCTCAGTTTTCAGCTCTTGACCGCTCTCAAAGTCCAACTCTGTGAGAGTTAAAGGTCATCAAACAAACAATCCTGCTTCAAAATCACTGGGGTGAACAAGCCCAGAAATACGACTCTGTTTCACCTTGCAGACAGTAAAAAGCCAGCAGTTCTCAACACAGTCTCTCCAGGAAATCTCCAAACATAGTTTATTGTACAGTCAGTGTTTCTGAGGCCAACACAAACAATGTGATTTGGTTTTCAGAACAGTTTGCACATAACTGGAATTTTTCTGCACTAATGTTAATGTTACATTTATTTAATGACCAGGTAGAGATTCATTTTAAAATTGCATTTGGAGCTGGCATTAATTGAGGAACATTTGCTTTGTTGTGACAGAAAACTAAACTTTGTAGCTGACAGATGTTTCAAGGAGAGAGAAAGAGAGAGAGAGAATTCATTCCATCTCCTTCGGTTGCAGAATATAAAAGCATATATTGTTTCCCCTGAGTTACCTCTTCCCAGTTCCTCTTCAGTATTCTATGGACGTTGTGTTCTTCTGAGAAACCTGACTCTCTGAAATTGCTTTTTATTGTGACTTACTTAGGCTGTTAATGTAAGCTATTACTGAGCTCACAAGTTACTATAGCAACAAAGCTGATAATGTGTACTGGGAGACCAAAGTGATAGATTACATGTGCATGCTATGTCATATCCAATAACTCAAACTTACTATACGGCACATTATTCCAGTGGTCTGAGAGAAATCAATATATGTGGACACAACCCAACAAGCCATGCTCCATCTCTCTCTCTCTCTACATCAGTCTCTCTGTGTGTCTAATTCTGCACGACAGTAAGGAAGCTGTAGCAGATCAGGCCATGTATCTATGATGTCTGTGTGGAGCTACAAGAGGCAGGTGCTGTACAGACACCATTCAGAGACTCTATTCAGCTCCTCTCCTCCGTTTCTCCATTCATGCAGGGCAAAACGCCATCTGCTCCTGTTGTGCCTGGAACTCTCACAGCTGACCAAAAAAAAATCCACCCCAACAGCTGTTGCCAAACAAAAGCCAAATAATGAGGGCAGAGAAAGGTTACACACAAGTAAGAGAGAGAGAGAGAGAGAGAGAGAGGGTGAGAGGGAGGGAAGGGTGAACGCACTGCTCTGATGAAAGGGGAGTCAGAAACAAATCTTTTACAGATTATGAGGAGGAATGCTCTTTTCAATGGGTGCAGTAGAAACAGTTAAATGTGAGATGGTAAATCTTGCCTCTTGTCTCTATGAACTTGGTGAACTCCATTACGGCTGTCAAATAGAGAAAGAGGAAACAGTATTCATGGCTAGTCTTTTGAGGGCCCTGATGAGTCAGACTGATGACAACAAGAGTTGAGAAAATGAGTTGAGAGTTCATGTTACACAGCATTTTAAAATATTAACTAGTTAGGATGGCTAAACATAGAAATGCTTGTAAAATCACCATTTTACATTTTGTATTTTATTCATTTATTTATTTTGCATATTTGGCCATCATCAATATTCAGTAATGTGCTGTAGCTGATGTGAAGAATACTATCTGCATCATAGGTGGATATGAAATTGTAAGGAATATGATGATTCCACAACCCTACAGAAGATAAGTGGTATATGGATTGTAATAATAATAAGAAAAATAATAAAACAAAATAATAACAATACTTATTCTTTTTTAATTATTCATCTAGTTTTTTTTTTTTTTTTGGTGTGAGGGCTCAGGACCATAAAATGTTCGATAAAATGTTCGAATGCAATGATAGGATGTCCTACCTGCCTGTCAACCTATATGTTTGCATACCGCAGCCAATAGAGAGAGTCTGGGGCGTGGCTACTGTAGCAGAGCTGACTGAGCCAGAGGGTGTTGTTTAGCCGGAGTGGGAAGATTAGGCACTTAAATTCCGTCACAGAAGTGCAAGCCAAAATTCGAAGACTTGCCAAAATCCTCAGAGACAGACAAGGGTAAACATTGGCAGCGTTTTTACAAGATGGAGAAATTTGATGAAATGTTTGTGTTTCAATCGATTAGACGAACTCGCTGAGTTTCTTCTCGACGGGGTAAGCTATAAACTTCAAGTTAAAAGTATTCCTAATATGTTAGACCTTTTATTGAAAGTAGTCTAACATTACTTTTCCCTGTTGAGACATGGCTTCACTTTGATAGACCCGTAAGAGCTTAGGGAAGGCGTGAAGCGCGAAAAGGACGTTTGCAAAGATTGTTTGAAAACATGCATTATTTTTGTATTTCCGCTAGGTGACACTATAGTAGCGCAGAGACTGCCTAGCGTACCTTTAATGCACGCTGGAGACGCAGTGACGTAAGTAATATTTAATATTTACGTTTCACAAAAGCATATAGCGATGTAAGTAGAAACAGTCATTAAATTAAGGAGAGCTTTGGACCACTTGCAAGTCCATTATGCAGTCTGCTTACTGTTTTTGCAGTTTATTAGACACAAAGGGACACACAAAAAACAATATTAATGCATTTTGATTTCCCCCCCCCAAGGCTATTATGCACTACATTCAAGAATAAAGTAGTGTTGTTGAAAATGCTTTTGAAACGACGTTGCTTGTCACGTGGTAGGCATTAATTTACATGACAATTGGAATATAACTTCAGGTCTGTTTTGATAAGCATTAACTATTTGCAATAGAAATTTCATATGTTCTTAAAATAATCAAACAGAGAAAATAAGAGAGCGAGAGAGCTGTAAATAAATGAATGATGCTCTATCTGCCAAAGGTTATACTCTTCTGCTTCTATATACCAATGAGGCAAATACTCAGAATCCTACTTCACAAATCCAGCCAATGATGAATTCACTAGTGAAGTTATTTGGTTTGGTCAGAGTGTAAACTGAATTCCACATGAAGGTGTAGACAGCAAGACAGCATGAATACACATCAACTTAATCCTAATCCTCTTTCATAACAGTATGGAATTTCGTGGAAAGAATATGTATGTATGTAAATTTGATTCTTTTGAACCTGATGTGAACTATTGTCAACAAAATATGTGAAATTGTATGGGGTTCAAGAATATATGTGTACATAATTATATAAAACAAGACCTCCAAATGGTCATCGAATTATTACATCGAATGCAGCTGATTTGTCACAAATAGTTTCAAATAAGATGAAATGATGTTAAAATCATCAAACACTAAACAATACTGAATTTACCATCTCTGTCCTTCAGACAATCTCTGCATTCATTCTGCAGTAGACTGCAACACAATAAGATTCGTGCATTATAAATGAGTTTTAATCAAAATGAGTTCTCTATTGTTTTTCAATGCTTCGACCACCCCAGTGATGTGATCATGTGAGCGTGTGAATGTGTGTTTATGTATGTTGCCCCGGCTCTGAGTCTGGTTTATTATGTTCTTGGTTCCATTCAATTTGTCATGTGTATGACTGTGTTGATGAGGCTGCGGAGGTGCTGGGGCTATTTATCACACAGCTCCTAATGCACTAATTCTGTGTTCATGATCTTCAGAGGGTTCATCCATCAACATAAGGTTGACAGAACCCCACCCCCACCCCTTGTCCCTAACCCCGCCTCCCCCAAAAGCCGTCTGTAAACATATGGGCCTCATTTTTTCATCAGTGTCCTAAATTTCACACAATCAGTGGAGATGTCTTTTGAGAACACTCTACCACAGATGGCTTGTACTTAATGATGAGGCGGACCAGGAAGCATGAGAAGATTTTGATTAGACTTTTGCTTCAAATGAAAAGTGTAAAAGGAACAGATCCATGTAACAAAACACACTAACTGAAATCTGTTTTATTTTACCTAGTTTTAAACTAATCAAAAACTTTAGTGCGATATAAATGCACAAAAAGATGACTCTAAAAAGTGTATATTGTGAAATCATGTTACAATTTAAAAGGACTCTTTTCTATTTTAATATATATATTTAAAATCATTTATTTCCTGCCGTCCTTTTCTGCAGTCCTGCAGTACATGATCCATCAGAAATCATTCTAACAAGATGATTCGCTGCTCAAGAAACATTTCTTATTTTTTGGGATTTTTTGATGAATAGAAAGTGTGTGTATGTTGTCTTTGAGGACAAAAAAAGGTTTCTGTAAAGAGCTCCTGACCACAGCATGATTCACAGTTTCACAGTCTGACCCGGCTCTCATCTCTGTGATTGACTGGGCTCTCTGAGACACTGGTTCTCAATTCCAGTCCTGGGGACCCCCTGCTCTGCACAGTTTGCATGTCTCCCTTATTTAACATGCTTGATTCAGATCATCAGTTCGTTAGGAGAGAGCTCCATGAAATGAACTGAGGCCACATCCACACAAAGCCAGAGCTATATTTTTTCTATTCATTCATTCATTAAAAAAAAAAAAAAATCCGTAAACAGCTTCATCTCAAGAAATATTTGCGTACACACGAAACCACTGAAACCGACTCGAAACTATGTAGTATACATGCCAGACCAGTATGTGGTGCTGTAATTCTGCCACAGAGATACACTAAAAACGGAGAAGACTTGGAGCATGCGCATAAACCTTGCGCGCTGTATGCAAACATTTTTGAGTAATTTTTGATTTTTCTTTAGTAAAGATAATAGGCTCAGTAGCTTCTGCAGCATGAACACTAGCATGTAGTCCGCCATTGTTCTTGTTGTTGCTGTTACGTGACGTATAGCGGTGTCTGACTAGGGCCGAGACATGGGGTGATGACATCATCGTTTCACAAAATATACAGATTGGCTGTACACACGAAAACGCAAGGGTGTTGTTTTCAGATTTATCCACTCTGGGACCCAGTTTCTGGCTCCCAAAATGTTGTATCAGTCTGAATGAAACGCCGTTACGATACAAAATGTTTACGTATACAGCTGAACGCGTCTCCATGTGGATGGGCTCTGAGTGTGTCAGATAAGAAAGACATACAAAATGTGCAGAGCAGTGGGTCCCCAGGACTGGAATTGAGAGACACATTTCCTGTCGGGGTTGTGTTGTGTGTTTCTGGGTCAGTGGCCTGGTTTTTTTGGGGGATGAGGATCTTTTGCAGAGGACCAGAGTCTTAATACAATAGAGACTCTTCAACAGCTGCCCTGTTCTCAGCCTGCCAAATGAAGTGACCAAGCCCTGATGAACTTTTCCCTTTTGTTCTCTGGCTCTGCCATCTTTTTCCCCCTCACTGGATTGGCAAACTCAAATCATTAGGCTTCATTGGAAGTGATGTACGGTTGGCTTTTGTTTGAGCAGTGCTGTTGTCATATCTTGTAATTCATTAGACACAGCAGAGTGCACAAACACAACAGGGACTTCACTGAATCAACCTTACATGCATGTTGTTTATGTAATGTTGAGAGTGCATGATGATGATGGTGGTGTACTGATTAGTGTTGATAAACAGCATCTGTTTAGCTCAAACCTGCAGAATAACCTTTCATTTCTTCTAAATAAGGTTTTTCTGCACATCAGTGGAGAGGGACTATCTTCTGTGTGCCAGAACGTCATGGTTTATTTTCATCAGATTAAATGATTCTGATGTTGAATCGCATCTTTTGCAGCCTGCATAAAAGAAAAAAAAATCTTAAAATGTAATCTTCCAGGAATATTTATAGTCAAGGCTGCAACATTCGATGGAAAAAGTTAAAGGGGTCATATGCTGCTTTTTTAAAGATCATTATTTTGTGTATTTGGTGTAACAGAATATGTTGACATGCTTTAATGTTCAAAAAACACACTTTGATAAAGAATATCTCTTTGGTTTTGAGACTTTAGTCTTTGCAACTTCAGGGATCTTATCTATGCACAATCAGCTTGTAACACTCCAAAGAGAAAGGAAAACTTGAAATCGCATCATATGACCCCTTTAAAGGAATACCAGTCACATCTATTAATTTTGTTTGTGTCACCCTCTGCCACATTGGAGTCTTTTGAATTCAGTCATATATGACATACTGTAGTTTACAATACAGTGTTTTAAGGATTTTTTCTTTTTTATTTAGGTATTTTTTTAAATGTTGTAAACATTTTGCTCTGTGGGATGTATCAAATGCTTTGCCTTCGAGCAAGAGAGAAACTGGGAGATATAATGGGAGAAATAATGTTATCCTGACAGTATAAATCAGCTCCAAAGTAAGGTAAACATTTGTGTAGCTGTCACATTTAATAAAGTGCCCTGGCATTTCAAGCAGCTTTGAAGAGTTGTTCAGCGTAATAAATAATATATCTAGCCTTAGACTTCAAGACCTCGTATGGAAGTGAACAGTAAATATTAAGAGGAATTTTGTGTTTCGAGTGCTGACTAGTCATCAGATTTAAAAACTAAACCTGCAAGGGTCGACTGTGTTCCCAGACATACAGACCAATTCTTCTCCATACTATAAAAAACGAAATCGCCTTGACAAAATACACAGTCTGTACTTCATACCATGTCAAAAAATGTGATCTAAGTTGGCATGGCAACAAATCTCCAGGGAAGGAAAAGGTCATAGTGGCTATAAATTCATTGCTTTGGTTAGAACGAGGTGGTTTCCTATTATCATCTCCATTCTGCAGTAGCTTTATTCTCTCTGTCTCTCTCTCCCTCATGCTCTTATAAATGTGGTGATTCACTGCTCCAGAGCTAAGCAAGCTGATGATTTTAATTTTCTGTTTTCAGAGTAATAAACATTGACATGAGAATGTGCCTCAGGCTCGAGCTCCTACTGAGAAAATGAAATTAGTTTTTCAGCTGACTGATCAGCAACATTTTACACGTAATAATCATGCGTTTATTTGAGTGTGGGAGCTCTCTGTTTATGAATGCTAGTATGTGTTTTGTATGTTTACATCCATTTCTAGGAAGAAGAAAAAAAACAAAACCCTGATATGTTTGTGCCCAGGAATTGCGATGTATAGCGTTCAGATAGTTCATTCATAGCCCTCTGACTCCACTGAGCGCATACATTAGTGTTTTTGATTTTGCTGCCTTATGTTGAATGTTGCAAACAAACATTGTCGTATCTATAATTTATCTTTGTTGTAGTTTAGAGGTAAAAGAGGTGGCCCAATTACCTCTCTGACACAACATTTATTCCATTTACAAACTGTCTGACCTTACATCTCAATGAATAATGCACCCCAGGTGTGTATTTGCTGTGGTGGCACAGGTCTTGAGTCATACACCAATGTCTCAGTTGCTTACAGATGTGCAATGGCTGATGCAAGAAGCGGTCAATAAGAGAGGCCCTCTTTGTCCCTTTCTGCCCTGGTGTATACAGTACGGTTGTTCTCTCAGATGACTTTATTTGAGAAATTGTTCAGGAATCTCATACACCAGAGAATTGCAAGATTTTCA